AGCACTGAAGCTGCCACCTTTGTCAGCCCTCTCGCGCGCCTCCGCTTGAGGGCCGCCCCGGCTTCCTCCCGCGCAGTTCCAACGTTTCGGCCTTTACCGCCCGCTGGTCGGCCTTGCTCTCGTTCGCGGCTGCCTTTGCCTTTGCTGCAAGTCTCCCCTCCTTGCCTCTTAGCGGCACAGCTAATGTCGATGGAGAAGAGAACCCCTGCTGCTGAGCGACCTCCTCGCAGAATCTTCCCTTGAACCGCCCCTTGCAAGCCGCATGCCTTAGACAACGTAGCGCGCAATCGGCCTGGCCTTGGGTCGGCACTGGGACCGCCAAGCTGGGATGTCGGTAGAAAGGTGCGAGGGAAAGTAATGTGCATTCACCTTTCTGCTACTGACGAGGCCTGCGCTGTCCTCCACCTGCCGCGTGCACGAGTACGCGAGTCCGGCTTTCCAGTACTTGATTGGGAGGTTGAGGCCGCGCCGGCTGCGCAGCACAGCGGGCTGCTGTGGCAGTTTGGCTTGTGACGAAAGCGCGCTCGAGACACACAGCTTTCTCAGCGGGCGCTGTGGGCTTACACGCGCGCATCGATTTCATTTGTCGCAAAACGCGCACCTGGAATGCTTCTGTGTCCTCAACGCAGCAAGGCGAGGCGGGCCCAGCAGCGGCTCACGGCTCTTGCGCCTTGAGGCCAACCGCAAGGAACACGACTGCCGATTCACATGGCACTGCCATCCGACGATGCCTCTTAGCATTAATGGGCCTTGCGGATGCACTGCGGCCACTCCAACCGGCACGAGCCGCACGGCTTGCACTGCGCTTTGTTGGCCTCGGCCTGCGCGCAGCCGCTAGCGACCGCCATGCTGCGTACTGGGCTTCCTGGATGGACACCCTACCGGTCATCCACGTACGCATGCCCCCGGCTGTGGGACGCTTGCCCATGCTCGCCGCAACTGAGCGACCAAGGAGCCGCGCGGCGGCTTGCGTGGCCACAAAGGGCTACGCAATGCCGAATCCTGGAACAAGGCCATGTCCACTGTGCCCCGCCCGACAACAGCCGACTTCTTTCGCGGCTGGCAGCGCAAAGGCACCTTGCTGACTTGGCCCCTCCCTCCGGCGCCCAGCTCCTCTCGCAAGCTGGACCGCACTTTGCAGCACATACGGTTTCATTCCCGCTTCGCACTTCCGTGTCTTCCTGCGGCGTCTGCGCCCAGCCCTTCCTCCGGCCTGCAGGGTTGACGTGCCCTCTGCCGCCTCGTGGTGTTTGAGCTTCAGGTCCACGGGCGCTGGGGCTGAGGAGGCCGGCACCTTGAGCACGCTGGAATGGAGTCGCGGCGTGCGCCGCGCGCGCTGCCACCTCCAACCGGAGCTCGGTGCTGCTGGATCTCCAGACCCTCGCTGGCAAGAGGCCCCTCAACCCAGCCACCTCCCTGCCCGTGCTTAGAGCCTCCGTTGAAAACGTCGGCCGCTGTTTGTTCCGGGACCCGGACCCGCTGTCGTGTGATCGAGGTCAAGGATTCGCTGTGATCGAAGTCAAGGATTCCCGGCACCTTCATGAGGTCGGTCCTGATGATGATGCGTGTGCAAAACACGCGCACCCCTCGAGTGAATCACCCCGCACAGCTCTTCCACGTCGCCAGTGAGTGCAACCCTCTCACCACCCGGCCTGAGGGTCGACGCGGTGGGTACGTTGGACCATGTTGAGGAAGTGGGCCCCAACCGCAGCAAACCGAAGGGCAAGGAGCTCCTGTTTGTAGGCCTTTTGATCCTCATCACGGTTTCCAGTTGCAAAAGCCTCGAGGGTGCCATGACACCAGGAGCGCTCGGACAATCCGTTCTTTGCGTTCCCCTAGCTTGGAGAAACCCAAGCCCGACCACGTGGAGGTGGCAGATTGAGCCCAAAGCTTACGTAACTGCTTTAACTGCCGTACGGGCCGGCACATGGCAGTAGTGTCAGTAGAGGGGCAAACGGAAGGCGCGAGCGCAACTTGTTGAGCGTGGCCTGTCGGGAATCACCAAGCTCCACTGGCGGGGAGTTTGTGTAGTCGTGAGTGACTGTAAGGCAGCCTTGGCTGCCACAGAGCCTCATCTCGAAGGCACCTACTGTGAACTGCCTCTTCTTTTTCAGGAGATCCGACACCTCTTCGCGCAGACAGCTCAGGTTGGCAATCACGTTCGCCGAGTCTGGGTCCCTGCACACAACCGTCAGCTCAGCTGGGAGGCCCCTGGCGGGCTTTGCGCTGAGCACCTTCGGCATCTTAATGCCACGGTCGATGAGGCGGCGAAGTCCTGCATGCAGCGGGGCTTGACGGGTTCACTGCGCCAGCGTTGGCATGATCTGGCCAAAAACACATCCTGGGAGGAAGCTGCCATTTTGGCGGCCAATTCTTCGGCACAGCTCCTCCAGGAGTACCTCCGGGTGGCGACTGAGGACGACGCGGCGGCCCGAGCCTGCCTTTAGGCTTGTCCCGTGAGCTCCAACGTCGTGCTCTTCTGAGCTTGTAGCTTGTCTTAAGTCTTAAAGGGTTCCCCGTCCACGCGGACCCCGTAGGACAGGTTTCACGATTCCTTCACTACATGTGTGGATTGCAAATTTCTGTTTTGACACACCGTTCTCTTTAATAATAGGGACGGTGTACATACCTCCGTTGTAGCTCTGCTGCCGAGGTCGTGCCGTAGCTTTGCTTCTTCACGTCTGTGGTCTTACCACCGTGGAGGCTTTAGTTGGGAGCCTTTGCGTCTGTGGCTTTCCCACCGCGACGGCATGGCCACTTTCCTGAAAGGCTTGCGCAGCAATGATCTTGAGATCCGTGGTGTCGTCTGTTTCTGTACATCTCTGACGCCAGTTTCTCTTTGCTTTCGCTTTTGAGACAGCGATCGGTGGGATCTTTTCGAAGTCCCCCGAGTGACTTACTTGCTCAAAAAGCAGTTATGTTTGGACGGTCGACGCGGGGACCGAGCACGAGGTCTTGCAAACAGCGGCGGGGAGCAAGGCTCCCTTCATGCTCGCCCACCACGTCGCCGGACCCCATTCAAGCCGTACCTTCATTGTCCTCTCTACGTCAGTCGCCGTCGCTTTGCCCCCTGTTTATCTCCGTGTGCTCCTGGATCTTTCGGTGGATGCGACTGCCGCTGCCCACCGTGCAGCGTCTGGCGTGTTAGTGCCGAGAGCTTTCCCGCTCGAACATGCACCCCGTCGTCTGCCGGGAAGGCGGCGCGCGAGTAGCACACAACATCGAGGTCGTCGCAAGCGGCTGCATCTTCAGGCACAGGGCGCAGCTCGTGCTCGACGCCACCATCGTCAGTCCGGTGACACGGGCTTGCGTGTCACAACTGGGCGCCGACACTCGCCTTTGGAACAAAGCAACAACAAATAAGGACCACAACATACCATATGTTGGCTGGATTGTCGGATGATCAGACATCTTGAATATTCTCCTTTTGCGGTGCTTTCGGATCCTGAATTTGATCGATAGTTTTCGACGTTTCCTCTGTCACTGATAAATGATAAATTCGTGTTGTTATTGTCTTATGCGAATTTTCAACGTTTCGCTTGTTGCTTGCTATGTTTATCTACTCTGCGAAGCCTTGCTTAGCTGATCGAAACCGTTGGACATGTGCAGGAGCCTTCGACTATTCGTCCTTAGTGTTTTATGTTTTTGGCGCAACATTTTTCACTCATGCCAGTTTTGGGCTTGTGTTTTTCGGCTTCTTGTGTGCTGTTTGGTATTTTCCATTTGTCCGCACTCACAGCCATTCGCAATCACGGCCCGTTTGGCGGTGGCTGTGCTCTGCGCTGTTGACTCCTCGAGCTTGGGGCCGGGAGTGCTGTGTCACAAGAACGAATTTAACGAATTTCAGCACTCGCTCAAGCTAGAGCTGCCGACCTGAGCAGATGGTTTGTCGTGTGGCATCATTGGCGCTGGCTGCGAGGGGCTTCATAAGGTGGATTTTGCACTATAATTTCGGCAGGACACATGTTGCCAGCGTGTGGAGGTGAAGTTGTGCGGCCCGCAGATGTTTTCATTGACCAAAGCCTGCAACCACAAAAGAACAGTCTTTGCATGCTGCACTAACGACACCCTTGCAACTCTTCGGTCAAATCTACTACAGTGTGTATATTGCCCAGTCCGCAGCATGAAAACCTTGGCGTGATGCGATGAACCGAGATGCTGGACTGGAGCTTCCGCAGGCGGGGGCAAGTCCGGCATCCTTGACAGGAAGCAGAAAGCTCGTACATCAAGTCGAGTCTCGCCCTTGGCGCCCTGCCACCAACCTATGTTGCAGGAAAGCCTGATTGCAGCGGCTTCCGCAGCCAGATCCTCGAAGATTCTTTCGCCCATATCGCTGCATTTGGTTCTTCCACCAAGGCCACTTTGCTTCGAGTCAAGGGCTACTGTCTGGGACTGATGGTCGAGCTCTGCAATGATGCAGGGCGATTGCACAATCCTCTGGATCTGGTCGCGCGATCCCAGGTGTGCTGCAAAAGTGGGTGTCGGGCTGCCTCGTGGAGAAAGCGCAGGCGTTCAGCAAGCTGAGTGGTCGTGGAGCTGTCAGATCGTTGCCGAGGGCATCATTCAGGAAGTTGGGTTAGGGTTGACGGACATGGAAATCTGGGTTCCACGTGCGCTCTGACCTCTGACCCGAGGCAGCGGCCTCAAGCGAGGTTTTTGGGATTCCCAACACGATTGTGGCCGATGGATTGCTGGGAACGGACTTCGGCCTGGTTGAGCTTCGGCTGTTACAGGCCTGGGTGTCCGATCTCGACAGAGGCACAAGACACTTACAGCAACATTCGGTAACATTGCTTTGTTCACGGTCGCAGGAACGTTCGACACAATTTGTCGATGGCTTGTTGCTTGGCACACTGTCGCAGCTCTCCAAGCAGCTGCATGGCCTCAGCGATAGCATCACCCACTGTATGGATACTGCTGGTGGATTTTGCCAGCATGCGTCGGCCATTCTGTTGAAGCAGGGTGCGCCCGGTATGTCAGGAGAGATTTCGGGCCTGTCGGAAGTGGATGCATCGCGGTGGCTTGACATTTTCCGGCGCCATCGGTTGTTGAGCATGGTCTATCTGGGTCCACAGCCCGGAATCCTCGACCTCTGGATGTTCGAGGAAAGCGAACAGTCAGTGGAGCCGGGCTGTGCAAACATTCTGTGGCCAGTTCTGTAAAGCTTGTCAGCTTGCAGGAGGTGGGTCATGTGCAACTCGCAGATCCACAGCGGCAGAGGACGTGCGTGAGTAATGGCTCTGTCCAACCAAATCCTTCCATAATTTGTCCTCGCTGACATGTTACGGGCTCCCTGCGACTTGTGTCCTGTCTCTCAATTTCTCTGTAAGAATAACGCTTGGGCAGGGTTTGAGCTCTGCGGAACCTCGGGCCGAAAGCAGAAATGGCAGGCATTCGAGAACAGTCGGCTTTATGCCTGCAGGTCACAATCTGTATTTACATGTAGATTTGCATGAACAACGGAATCTTCCGAGGGTGTACTGCGAAATAGGGGGCAACACAGTTGTTGTGCCTTCGGTGCTGGTGGGTGTCCCGGCTGCGTGATGGTACGACCTCGCTGTCGCTGTCGCCCCCCTTGAGGATTGGCATCGAACTTTCACCTGGTGACGTCGTGGTCCTCCGCCCCGAACTCCTAGCACGGAAGTTGCGCGCCCCAGTGGGCTCGCTGGCAATGATGTCCTTGGTGCTGGGAAGGCCGATTCCTGACAAGCTCCGGCTGTAATCTCCAACAGCGTCCGGAGTCCTGTGGAGGAAGACCAGTGCACGGAGAGTGTGGCCTGGACAGGGACGCATTCCCGCAGCCAAAGCCTTGGATGAATGGATCCGCCACCGGCTACTGCAGCTGAGCCAGGCCTGCAGCGCTAGCAGCCGCTAGCAGTGCGCACCCCGCTTTGGCCCAACATTCCCGAGCTCCGGAGGATTGCATTGACCACGAGGTTCCTTTCGCTTGGCGGAAGGACGGGTGTGTTCTCGCACCTCTGTCAAGTGCATTCAATGCAGTGCAGGACCTTCAACGCAGCTTTGACAACGGAAGAATGGTTGCTGTCCGCTCTGCAGCTGGTCGTTTCCCCCGGGCAGGCATCAGGGCAGCCTTTTGCTGGTGAGTACAGGTATGGCTTCGCCATGGTTCGCCTTTTTGCAGGCATTCTTGCGTCGTAGTCTCTTTAGCGATCATTGCAGAAGCAGGGCACCCTGACACAGTGGACCGCTAGCCGCTAGCATCTATCGCTTGCAGATGCAGTGGATGATTGGTGTCGTACCTCAATCACTGCTGCGGCCGACTACGCCACAGAGGTTCCGTTTCGGCGATGGGACCATTCGGAGGTCGGGCTTGAACCCATCCTGCAGGTAGGATCTGCAATTTTTTCCATTTGCTGCTAGTTGTTTGTTTTTCAGGTCTACGATCCAGACGATAGCAGCCTCAAGAAAGTGAAGTCTGCTTGCCGGCATGGTGCCTTCCTGGACGGCCTCGAGCTCTTCCCCGGCCACGCCTTCAAAATGCCAGAGCAGGTCGGCCTTGGATTCTCAGAGGTGTTTGCCACGGGGCGATAGGGGACTGTGTGATATCATCTCGTAAGCTCGGCCCAGCGGGCTTACACAGAGGCGCACATGTACTTGGAAGAGCATGTCCAGCCTGTAGCCTTGCCTTGCCTTCCCGGCAAGGATGTGCGGCGTTGCGATCCCTACCAGCGATTGTGTGCGGAGGCAGCGTCGTCCGCCCTGCACAGTGCTCCGGCTGCACTGAGAGTGTGCAGTCGCCGAGATGGCTCAGGGAATGAAGGCTTCAGGCCAAAGAGCAGAAGATCCCAAGGCGCCTAGGTCGAACTAGAAAAAGCCGCCCGGGATAAACCAGAGGCATATTGTTTGGGTTGTCATCGGAGGCCATGGCCAGTAGCCGCGTGATCGTGGAACCAAAACCAGGTGGAAGTCTGAAGCGGCATGGCCAGCGCAGTGGCGGCCTCTTTGTTGGCTGTCCCTCCGTTGCGGACTGGGAGCATGACGGCGACGGCGATCAGGTTCAAATCCAAGTCTGAAGCTCTGATTCTGCAGATTCTGAGTCCGGCTTTGGTGGCCGCTCTTCCCAGGCTTTGTTGGCCGGCCGACTCTCGGTGATGCTTGGGCTCAGGGGGACTGCGGATGCTCTCGCAGAACCCTCAACGGCACAGGGTTGGGAATCCCCTGCCCGTTTTTCAGAGTCCCGTCTTTGACGTTTGAGGTGACCTTGGAGGGTGCCGCCGGCTTGGCCGCGGCCTCGCTGGCCGCCACAGCTCTGGAGGTGGGCTTTTTTTTTTTGCTGCAAGAGAGTGCGCTTCTTCGAGTTTGCTGCAGAGGCCAAGCTCGACTTTGCGCTGGCGCTTGGGGTGCACTTGATCCTCTCCCCGCGGTTTTGGCTTCTCAGACGTCGAAAGAAGCACCCTCGCTCCCTCTGCTTAGCCCGATCTGCCCGATGTTTGTCGAGTTCGAGGCTCTGTTGCTGCAGGGCCACGGCAGCCTCGCTCTCCCGGCATGGGCGAAGCTTGGCTTTCGACACCTCCTGTGACGGGTTTGCGCAAGGCTCAGGAGTTCTGCAGTCGGTGACCGGCATGTGTGTGACGCGTGGGCCGTCGGCGAATGCTTTGAGTGACCCGAGGTTCGTGGTGAGGCTTGTTGTGCAGTGATGCTGTGCCGGTTTGAGCTTCCCGCCCAGGTCTCAGCTCGGAAATACGGCTTTTTTTGATGATTTGTCTGCGACCTGCGTTGCAAGGAGCCGTCTCAGATGGAAAGCTCGAGACCTACCTGTGGCAAGGGACGCAGGATCGTGTGGAGTTCCGTTGTCCAGGCCCGCCGGCCGGCTGCATTACCGGCAGTGCCATAGCTGCGAGAGGGTGCAGCACATCTCTTGTGGCGGGCTCAGAGTCGTAAGTCGATGGTGGCGTTGGCATGCAGCAAACACAAGCATACGCAAACCGCAAACCCACTCCTGGAACCTTTTTTTGTCCCAGTTCGAAAAGCGAGGGCAAACTAGGGGAGTCAATTCGGGGATGGGGTGACGAAGCGGAGGCCAGACCGACACCCTCAGCCTTGATACTCCGAGAGAAGCCGAAAGGCCTCAACAAGCCGGTCTTGTCCAGCTGACAGAGCACGAGACGAATGGCAAAGAATGCTGGGAGCATTGGGCCCGAACTGATCGTGGGGGACATGTTGAGCACAGGGGTCATGCTTGGACGAAGTGTTGAGTCGGACACCTGTATTTCACATCCAATCGAGACTGTGCCCTGCTCCTCCGCTCCGCTCGCAAGGCACTGCAGGGTGCAGCCGAGATTCGCCGCACTGTTGCGGAGGCCGCACTGTTGCGGGAGTTCAAAGGGCAGCAAGACCCTATAGAGATCTGGCAGGCCATGTCAGATCTCGAGGACGGCTTTGTGGACATAGCGGAGGTTGATGGCGGCTCGGGCTCAACTTGTCAAAGCGACCAATCGCCGCAAATGAGCCGTGAAGCGCTAGAGCTGGAAGGTCTGGGGCCATCAGCCGAGACAATGGAACTGGCCGCGCTGCAGGCATCTCATCGAGGCCGACTTTCCAGGTGTTTGAGGAGGGCGAGGGGCCATGCACCCGCGCGGCTAAGGCCTTTGTGCAGACGCCAGTCCACTACAACTGACCTCGCTGAAGGCGTGAAGGGGGTGGCCTGCATGCGGGGAACTTCGGGGCTCGGATCTATGCCAAGGCCAGCTGCGGTCATCAGGCGCAGTGTGCAGGCTGGATTTTTGCGCTGCCTGGCACTCTACATGCCCGCATCACTGTAGGACTGGCGTGTATGATGCAGATCTTGGCTGCCATCCGCCTTGGCACCGCAACAGTGGCTAGGATTTTCGGGAGTGCAAGAGATATCTAAGCGGATCTGACATGCGTGGACGGAGTGGATGTGGGGACAAGAGATATCTTGTCAGCCTTTTCGCGTTGTTGCCCTTGTGGCTGAGGCGCAGCCGCACCTGCGGCAGCTCAATCCCAGTGCCACGATGGCCGGGCCCAGTCTCAGCCATCTCAGCGTAGCTCGGCTAATCTTTGCTTGTCTCCAGACCAGAACTGTCGCCCATGGCCTCGCAACGTTGCAGCAATGTGCTGAGCCTGGTGCCTTCGGGCCTTAGGTGGAGTGTGGGCAGCTCACGGAACCCAACCTCTATGCTGGCATTCTCGGCCGTGGAGGCTCGCATAAAGAAAAAGGCACTCTGCGACGGACCCTCTACAAACACGAAGGGGGCGTGAAACTGGCGACGCCGTGTGCATAGGTGGGACAACAGTATACACAGTGCTGTGGGGATTTGGTGGCCCTATGGCAAAGGCTCGGTGCTCAGAAGGAGCGAGCTGACACGTTCTCTTTGATTCTGTTTGCTTGCTGAGAGGATGGCCCTGCACATCTGAAGCCAGACCTGGTATCCTGGGCAGGGGTGGAGGCCGCATGTTCCAACCCAGCGGCACCAGCATCAGCTGGAGCATGATCTTTACCATGATCATGATGGTCATCATCATCGTCATTGATTGTTAGAAGCCGCAGCAATAGCAGAATCGACAGCAGGAAAAGCAGCAGCAGCACCTGAAGCGGCCGCAGCAGCCACGTCATCGTCGTCATCACGTGCACTCGCGCACAGACATGGAGCATCACAAGCATCACAAGCACGAAATTAGCATCGTGGCCGTCGTCTTCCTCGCGTCATCAACATCATCCGCATCATCATCACGGTCATCATCATCACCATCATCATTATAATCATCACCATGAGAATCATCATCCCTGTGAAGATCCTAAACCGCATTATCATCTTCTTACACTTGTCTGCATGTTCTTCGACGCATCGTCCTTTTGTCGGCACCAGCACTTGTAGCTGTGCCAGGTCGAGGGACAAGCGCCGTCGGTGTACCTGCCGCTGGAGAAGCAGGCTAGCAAGTAGCACTGGGGGTTGCGCGATGCTTCGTGATGCTGCCTGTCTTGAGGCAAGCGGGAGCAGCAGCTTGGCGTAAAGATTCGACTCGGCTTAGCGCAAGCGTGGCTCAGAACGACGAGGACCTGCTGGGTGGAGGTTGAGCGCATGTCTGCAGGACCCGATTATTGCCTGATCGGCAGCTGGGACAACTGGACGAGGCTTCCGCTTAGGGGAGCTCTGCAGCCGTTGCAGCTATGCGTTGGCTTGAATGCCTCGAGGTGCCGAGCCATGTGGTGGGATGCTGACTGCTGGCGCGGGCAGCTGCACCTCGGAGGTCAGGCCGCTAGGCCTGTGAGAGCAGCCTCTGCCAGCCTCAAGTCTTAGTGCAGGGGAGGAATCCTTCCAGATCCTCAAGGACGCATCCTCGAATCTATGACCTCCGATGCAGCACCTTGTTTCCGGCAGGATGGGGACCCAGACCAAGCGATCTTCCCGAACTGCCGCAACGCGCGGTTCGGGCGTCCTCGCCCCAGGATCAGAAGGGGAGTGTCCTTTCCCGTTTTTCGGAGGTGCCTTGTCAGTCCTTCGGTGCACGTCTTTGTTGATGTTTGGAGTGTCCAATGTCCAAGGCTTCCATGTGGTGCAGGCCGGCGAAGCATCTGCTGCAAGTCTTGCCTGAATCGACTTGCAGGGGCCGGCGCCCAATCCTCACCGCCTTGCTTGGCTGGTCCGGCACGCGGACATGCTGTGATAAAGTTATAGGGAGCTTTGCACACCCCAAGTGGCCGAGGTCGCCGAGGATGGCGGCCCAAGCTCCTGCGACTTCGAGGTCTCTCTGAGCTTCAAGGCGCTTCCTTTATTTTTTGGACTGCGCTGCTCTTCTTGTGGGCGCAGCTCTGCGTGGCCAGGGTCGCCGGCCGCGGGTGACGCGAGGGCCTTGAGCAAAGTGAGCAAAGAGCAAAGCTCAGCCGCGACAAAAAACCCTGGCGCTGTTGCTTCAGGCTGCGGAGCCTTTCGATGAGCCGAAACTGAGCTGAGCCTGAGGCATGCGGCCGCGCAAGGAAACAATTTCTTCGGTCCGCATGCGCAGACATGCCTAGTGTTGAGTGTTGACTTGAGTGTTGACACAATTACTGCAGACCTGCAGGCAAGCGTGGTGGCACCCCCGAGAGCATCAGCGCGCATCTGATTCGTTACCTTCAAGGTGGCCAGCTGAGGCTGATGTAGCGTCACCATGGTCACCTAGAGGTGTCAGGCTTGTGGAAGCACTTGTTCAGTTTGACGCCGGCTTTGAGGTGTCGGCCTTGCCTTGCTGGCCCCGCGCTTGGGGTAGCAGAGACTCAGCTCGGGCCAGTTGCTGATCGTCGTGATCATCGGGACCAAAACCATTGAGGTGCTTGGTAAAGAAAGGGTACCCCTCGTGTACTAGCTGTTTCATTGACACTCGATGCCTGCAGGACTACGCCGAGCCGCCGGGCGCCAGCTGGTTCCATGGTTGGAGGTTTCCAATCCGTAAGGGATCCGTTTTGGGGTGCTGCACCTAGCAGATGGATTGTCATACATTTGGGGTGTATCTCGGGGATACTATTTATGTGATTTCTACCACAACCACGTAAGAGCCCTGAAAACTCTATCACTGGTCTTACTGGTTCCCTACGCAATGCCAGGCCGTCGTGGTGCAGCTGCGGAGCTGATGAAGGTGCCACAGAAAGATTTATGTTGAGATTCGGGTGTTGGCAAAACGAACCCTCACTACAATTACATACCATTAAGCGCTAATCAAATCCCTCAGCCAAGTTCCACAATACTATCGTGAAAATAAATCCAGCTGTCTGCATAGGCACAAAAATACGGCTGCAATGCTGCAAGAATACGAGTGCAACCAGCAGTACTGCTATAATACTTGAACTTGCGCGCTTTCCATCGCATGATTCGCCACCACGGTGCCAGAAAAGGCGCACGCGGGCGCCCAACTTGGTTAAGCACAGCAAAGGTCGACATTTCTGCCAACCGTACTCTTGGAAGTGTTGGCCGGAGACCCTGTTGGCAAGCCAGGCCTCACTGCGCTGGCTGGCAACGATTTGCGCGTGCTTGGCGCAGTCGCTGGCCTAGAACCGGGGCCTGTTTGACTATTTGAGGTACTGACCCGTGGGGCAGCTGTGGGCGATGGTAGGTCGTGTGCCAAGTTGTAAAGCGAAGCACAGTGCGATGTCGGCATCCATCGGAATTGTGGCAGTGGCCGGACAATCGCGCCGAGCATGCTCTGCTCGTACTGATTTCTTGGGACTCTCCCAGTATGTTCCTATCCCGACAAATGTGCCGAAAGCTGCTTGGGACGGTGCTAAGGCATGCCGGGACTCCTCGACCAGTCGGCCAGTGGTGGGCTCGAAGATCGCACGAGGCACAGCATCGATCCGGTTCTCCTTCTGGTGGAAAGAGGGTGTGCGATGTTTCGTCCTGTTCTGAAGAGCCGGAAGGATCGCGCAACGTTTGGCTGAACAGCAGAATTAGCCCGGAGAGCCGGTTGCGGGTGGAAGCCATGAAGTGATGAGGAGAAAGTGTAGAGCCGCATTACACTCCGGGCTTTGCTGCTTGGATGCCGAAGCAGAAAGCGCACAAAGCGAATGAGATGGCTGCAAGCATGCTCGCAGAGGTTTGGTCACGGGAGTCGGGGCCGGAATTCTCTACTATCTCGCATCTGGGAGCTTGGCGGCACGTTCGGAGGCAACAGGCCAGGCGTATTGGGCAAGTTCCTATGTTTTTAACCATTGAGAAGCTCGTGGCTGCAGGCGAAGCTGCAATTTCGGCACGGAGTGATAGCTACTGCGACGCCGTTCAGTCCTGGCAGTCCGGCACGTCTAGCGAGCCTATGCAAGCAGGGAGGTTGCTTGCTGCTACGATTAAGTCAAGCAAGATATATATATATATATAAATAATATAATATAATA